AATTGGTCTAATCAGAACTTATTTAATTCACTCAGATTGTATTACCTGCTGAGGCTGAACGAGAAAACAATTTCTCTGTTTGTTAATTATTCCTTTAGTTTGTCACAGAGTGGTGGGTCGTTTGGTTGACATGCAGTCACCTAATTGCCAAAGGGTGGCCTACTGAGAGCCAAATTACTGTGTATTAATAAAGCTGGAACCTACTAAGGAGTGCCAACCACACCATATCAAATCACATGCAAATAAATGAAAGAAAACACTAAACAGTATAGGACAAGAGATCATTTGGTTTTCGTTACAGTCTGCCGAAAGAAAGTTGATTTAAGCTGGTTGTTAGGAGGATTTGTGGAGGAAACGTTTTCATCACAGATTCTCTTTGGTAGATTAAGTGTCATAAAGTAAGCAAATACCATGGCATGTTTTTTAGATTGCGGTTAAGATATAAAACATTTGTCCAAACATCAGAAGCAACATAGCAATCTAGCTGCCTGTCCTTGGCAGGCCAGGGTAAACTGTATCCCCCTTACACCAGGGTTGCGGTAAATGTTTGGCTGTAGGCAGCGCACGGTCATTCAGATTCTGTAGGGTAGATTGCAGGGTCAGAGAGAGGTTTTGAGGGCACCAGTGCAGAGAATGCCAATGAACTATCAGAGCAAACATGAGCCTGCAGTGAGGTTATGAGAATGGGCACAACCAATCCGAGAAACCAAGCAAGGAAATGTACATAGTGGTTAGCATTCAGCTGCCAAGTGTGAGCTACGATCCTGAATGAAGTGGGGGAATACTTCTGACCGACCTCAAAACTGGAAGACTTAAGTTCTGGTTTATACTGAACTGTAGTAAACATTTATTTTGTCATTATTATAACTGGTGAATAAGCAGCTCCGGAAAGCAGACTAGAAGTTTCATGGAAGATTATCTTACATTTTTACTTTTATTGTTCATCAGTTTTGATTCAACACAAAAATAAAAGTAAATCCCTAGAGGCCCGAGGTTCTGCTGGGAATAAACTAAGGTGGGTAACTAACTATGCAGTACGGCTAACTACTTACCCTAAAAACCTTTAATAATGTTATCAGTCAAAGCTACAATTGCTAGTATAAATACTGAAACACTCCAAGAATCCTTTCAACCAAGACAGCCCAAAAATATCAAGAACATACCTGTCAAATATTTTTTGGGACGATCCAAGCCTGAAAGACCTTTTCCTTAAAGAGCCTGTGACAGCCTCCCAGCAACTGTTGTGCAATGAAATATTGGGCTACTAGTAATCTCGAACCGTCAGTTTAAAAAAGAAAAAGCGATACCGTTCCGTTAAATATCAATAATTTCGAACATCGCGGGGAAATTCCTTCGACTCATTTTGAAGTTTTGGGGGAAGCCGGAAGTGACGTCAATGCGGGAACGCTTCACTGTGCGGCGAGAGAGCCAAACACGGACAAAGTGTGTTGTCATGCGTAGAAATGGTGAATTACTGAGTTTAGGCACGTTAATAACGTTTTAATGAAGTTGACTACAGTATATTCATATTTGTCAATGCTTTCATGTCAATTCAGCGAACATAAACATAAATGATCGTGGTGAAGATGATGATTACATTAGGATTACAAATCGGTAGTGAGAGCTACTGAATTTCCTCCCGTAGGATGTGATATAAAAACAAATCGATTATTTTTGTAGTTGTAAACTCAAGTGGATGAAACTACATTTATTAGTGCTTTCATGTCAATTCGGCGAACATATGATAGATTAAATGATCGTGAGAATGATGATTACAAATCGTTTGTTTGTGCCGGTCTGCATTTCCTGATGAGAAAACAAACCAATGCATTTTGTAGTTGTAGTACACCAACATGGATTAAACGTAGGGGTGTAACGGTATCCGTATTCGTCCCGTACCGTCACGGTTCGGCACACAAAGTCACACAACGAATACGCATTTTTTTTACGAGTGGGAAAAAAGTCATTCAGGGCAGTATCCACTACACTATATATAATCCAGGGGGCGGTATTGCGACTAAAAGCTGTTTGCCAGCCGCCCTTAAACAACAAATGAAGAACAAGAAGAAACACAACAACAAAACGAACAAAATACAAGAAGAAGAAAAGTTAGTATGGCGATTTCAGATAACACACAGGAGCTAGAACCCACCTGCTTCTTTTAAATCAGCTGTGTGGGAACATTTCGGGTTCCCTGTGGACTACAATAACGATGGAGTGCGAGTGGTGGATCGGACGAGGACGGTGTGTCGCCGTTGTTCTACAGTGGTGCGGTATGCTAATGGTAACACACGCCAAACATGCTAAATCATATCAGAAGGCATCACCCAGATTTGCCAATCACCGAACCGAACCGTGACTTCTGTGAACCGTTACACCCCTAATTAAACGTGTGGTTTTTTCACCACAATGTTGGGGAAATTAATGGATAAAATGCACGGATTATTATTATTATTATTCCCACTCCGATCGGGACACTAGGTCCACCGTTTCCCCGCAGCGAGGCTCCCCCCGTTGACAGTTTACGTGGGCTGGGTGCAGTCGCGGACTGGCCATCGGGACGAATCCCGATGGGCCGGTACCGAAGTGGGCCGGTCGGATAAGTCACTAGCACATCCCCCATAGGCGGCGCGTGAGGCTCAGGTTTGGGAAGGCTAAATAACTTTTTTTACGCCTCCGGCGTCTATAGAAAAGAGATCAACTCAGTGTGCGGAGTTTAAATCTCTCAAGTCATATTACAGGATAAAGGAAATACAGTTTAAACTGCCGTATGCAGAGAAGACGCCGACGTGTCGCACTTATCATTCATATTACATCATCAATCAGATCATCGATCATATAATATCATAATATATCATATTTCCTTATCTGAGTCAGCTTCTCCAGCCGTATCTGGCCGTGCAACACTTACAGTGTCACATACTGTATGCAGAAGTATTATTTTAAGCAACACATTATGTTGACCAAACACTCGAGTCAAATGTAATTAAAGTCAGATCCACTCGTGTCTTAGACGTGAACGCGCTCTCAGCTGGTGAGAGAAACCCTGGCTTGATTTACCGAGTTGATAACCAGCGTCGTAGGACCGCTTAGCGAGATCTCGTTTGTTAGTTTGTTGTTGTTAGTTTGTTTGTTACTCAAACATATCCAGGGTATGTTGAACTGGCTTCATAGTACAGGGCACAGGTGGCTAGCAGCGCTAATGTCAAAGACACAGACATTGCATTATATTTGTATTTTACCAGGATGCAGTGACACAAATATTTACATATTTACATTTACTATCTACAGCACCCGCCGCCCCTGACATCCCCCACTCCCCCCGTTGACAATTTACTAGCGGTACCGAAGTGGGCCGGTCGAGAGTCCCGGGATGATTTTTAGTCCCAGTCCACCACTGGCTACATGACCGTATGATCGCCCATATTGACGCACCTCATTCCTAAACTTCTAACAGATACAACATAAACCGATCCTTCAGCCTCATATGAGCTCTCAGACACGTTCAAAATTAAACTGTCATCGCTGTCTGAGCTTGCTGCTGTGTGCGCCATCGTGCGTTTACATGCAGATGCTGGGATCCTGAACGGTGCAGCTGGAGCGCTGTGCCCGCAATGATGTCACACATAATTTGGCGGGACTTGAAGAATCCCCGAGAAGATCCAGAAAATGGTCAACATTGAAGGGCAGATTAATGGTTATCAAAGTACAAATATCCCAAATCAGTTCAGTAACGGTTTCAAGGGGACAATATTTACTCAAATTGATGGGTTTGGATGATGGGGGAAACTCGTGTCACAGGCTCTTTAAGCTTCACTTCAATCAGCTGATTCTTCTGTTGACCTCTGACCACAAGTCAAAGCAGCTTCATAAGAAAGCTTAAATCAAAAATGTTGCGTTTGATACATTTAAGAAAAAAAACTAAAACTGGTGTTTGATGACTATTCTTTACCGGTCGATACCAAAAGCCCAAGTATCAGTATCTTGACTGAAAATGTCCAATCAGAGCATCCCTAGTAATTTACCTTGATTAAACAAACAAAATCACACCATTCCTAGAAAGGACTAAATTACAAACCCCCTATTACGACTAGTACTCAGAAGTACACCACGCTTTAACATGGCTGATAGTCCGTGACTACCACAGAAGCAGCTCCACTTGGGTTTAGATCCGGCAGGCAGTTCCTCTGTGTGTAAATCCCTCAGCAGAACTATGGAGTCCCTTGGCAGCATATTCTCCGTCAAGCTACAAATAAAAGCCTTCCTCTACATGACATGCTGTTGCACAAACATGAGCATATTTGTCTCTGGGGAACTCCATGCAGTGGTGCTCAGCAAAGAGCTCATGAGAACATAGTGTACCCTCGTTCAGAAAAAAGACAGAATTCCATACTATAATAAGTTGGTAACACTCCAACCCACACACTACTCTATTAGTGACTTTCCACACCCCAAGAGACAAACATACACTTCTGTGATCACCGTCACCTGAGACTGAATTTCAAATCCTTCTGTCCTAAATCAAGGAGCACACAAACCAAAGCACACCTAGAAAACAGGTCATGTCAAAAACAGGTCAAAACATGTGTTGTCTTTCACATATAGTGAACAAACTGTCACAGTGAACAAATCTAATGAATTCTGTGCAGTGGGTGGATATTCACTTCAACACTGGGCTACCATTTATTCAATCATTCATTCATTTCATTATGCCTTCATCCTTCAGGCTATTCATTCATTTAACATTAATATTAATGAAAGCAAAAATCAACTCTTTATGATACTGTCAATAATACTTTAAATGAACATTCTGAAAAAACGAAATTAGCCCTTAAACTCAAAACTGGTTGGTTTAAGCACTGATCATATAATACCGGCATGTGCAAACACACACAGATAGAGACAATGGGCAAAATTAGCTCCTGTCTGAATAATGCATTGCAGAGAGCAACAAGTGTCAGTGGCTTCATACCAAACACACACAGATATTTTGGACTCACCCTCTCCAGGTCTTGTCGGAGGTGTGTGAAGAGTTTGAGGCGTCTGTAGAGGACGTCCTGCTCCTGTTGGGCCAGGTTGTCCACCTCGTCCCTCTTCAAGGTCATCAGAGGTCGGTTAAAGTTTGACTTCCTCTTCATCTTCCAGAACTGATATAAAAAGTCCACCTTGATGAAGAGACAAAATATAAATATTTATATAAAAATCTGTTTACTTACAGTGGTAGCCGTCCTTTAAAAGTGAAAAAAGCTTTTGACAAAACCCTGTTTGTAAATCAGAGGGCACTTATTACTCCACGTTCTGAACAAAAGCCTCTGATTTATCAGACAGTTTACCTGTGGGAGCACTTTATTTAATGCACTCGAGCCTGCACTCTAAATGCAACTCATCAATACCACATAATTAAATTCAATTATTTGTGGAAGCCACACTCTCAAATAATATATGATTTACTGTGAATTTCAAACCCTGGGAAACGATCAGACTAATGTTGTGCAGGTAAATGTAGAGACCTAATCAAGTTGTATTTATTATCATTTTATAATATATAAAGCTCACATGGACAAAAAGTGCTCCATAGAACAGCCAATCAGCTTCTTTTTCTTAATAGACAAAAAACATCTACATTACTTTTAAAGTTTTTGCACATGTGTTGCCTGTTTGCATGAACAGGCGTTGCTATTCTGACCTGCCTCATCAGCGAGCTTTGTCAAGTGTCTTCATCATTATGCTTTATTTATGCCTGATGCCCTGTCTAGAGGAGGTATTTTGTGTACATGGAGGTTTATCTATTACAGTGAATTACAAATATATAGCATCTTTTCTACTCATTTGAATAAGACAAATCATAGTTTTTGAGTTTAGAGGTGTAACGATTGATAGACAAATCAGTTGATTGTAGGGGTGTAACGGTACACGTACCGAAATTATTCGGTACGGGCCCTTCGGTTCGGTACAGATGTGTACCGAAGTGTACCGAACGAATATAACGTTAAACGTAAAAAATTGAGAACGTGAACAACTTTTTGGAAGTAATCTCAGGTGCTGCGTCTCAGCATTCAGAGTAACTTGCTCACATTGGGTTCAACGCGTCATAGAGCGAGCAAGTCATTTCATTGGACGAGAGGCATACTATGAGAGCTGGTCAGAGGGATGCGTTCATATGTAGTCAGTAATTTGAGGAACTGTCGAAAATTAATGGCGAACGCAGATAAAGTTGAGCTCGAAAATCCTCCAGCATCATTGAAGTCTCCGGTTTGGGAACATTTTGGTTTCGCAGTTACGTACAAGGATGACGGACAAAGACAGGTGGACCGAACCAAAGCTGTTTGTCGGCATTGTTCAACTAAAATTGGTTACGCGGCTGGCAATACATCAAACTTGCACACTCTTGAAAAGGCATCACCCGAACGTGAATATCACCGGTACCAAAAGACTGAAGTGCAAACCCAACTCCCACTAGCATGTTAGCCTCCACCACTCGCAAAAAGTTCAGACCGAGACAAAGCTATTACAAACGCCAAATATCCTTATGTTGCCATGTTAGCAAAGCGCTACCTGGCTGTATCTGCTACCTCTGTCCCAAGAGAGGGTGTTCTCCACAGCAGGAGACATTGTTAGTGCCAGCAGATCTGCCATTTCGGCAAGCAATGTGGACAAGTTCATCTTTCTTTAAAACAACATGAAAATACAATAACAAGCAAGTCATAATGTCAAACTGGCTGCTTAGGTACTAGTACAGTACAGTTCAAATACAGATTATTTCAGTTCATCGAAATGCTGCACCTTAATGTTTATTTTATTATATTTTGTATTTATTTGAGTGAATACATTATTCACAGTTTAATAATAATTTAAAAAAAATATATATATACGTTTTGTTTTGTGAAAACAAATTCTGCTGTACCGAAAACGTACCGAACCGAACCGTGACCAAAAAACCGAGGTACGTACCGAACCGAAATGTTTGTGAACCGTTACACCCCTAGTTGATTGATAAAAAAAACAATCGCAAACCATTCCAATAATCGGTTAATCGAAAAGTAATTTTTCATGCAAAATATGGCAAAAAGTGCTGTTTTCTTCAAATATGGAGATGCATATTTTTTCTGTGTTATATCATAAATATGTTTGTAATTTGGACTGGCAAAACAAAACGTCACTTTGGACTTTGAGAAATTGGGTTTAACATTTTTTGACAATTTTCTGCCATTTTAATCTAGAAAATAAATCTACAGATTAATCGTTCTAGCAGCCCTACAGTATTTCAGTTCCATGGCTTAACATACCTGGGAGACAGGCAGCCCCAGGTTTTCGGCCACCTCCCCGGGCTCCACCAGTTGGTAAAACTCATCCTCCAGCTCCTGCAGCTTCTGTTTCCTCTTGCTCACTTTCTCCCTCTCCAGCTGTTCCCGCTCAGCCCGCTCTGACGCAAACATCGGATACAAAACTGACCTCTGCTCCGGGTCGCTACCGATGTTTGGTAGGTGCTGATGGTCCGGCCGGAGCTCAGAACTGATAACTGGGTTGGTCCAGTCAGGTCTGGCTGCTGCGACTGCTCCGTTGATCAAGGAGGAACTGGTGCTGTGGGTTCCTAGGCTCACACTGGCCAGACTGGAGAAGCTGTTGGAGGTTGAACTGTTGCTGGCGGTGCAGCTGTGCTCAAGGCAGAAGGACTTGAAGCGAACCTCGTCGTTTTCTGCCAGGATCGTCCTCATCTCCAGGCCGTGGTCGAAGGCGCACGTCACATGGAAGGCCACGATACAGGAGGGCATGCAGCACTGGGAGAGGAAGAAAGAGAGAAAGTATAACTAAGATCAGAGACAGAAAAATAAAGGTAGTATAAGACAGACAGTGGATGGGAGATGATAAAGAGGCAGAATGTAGGGAGCTAAATGAGAGCAGGGAAGTAGAAATCCCATTTGAGTAAGGTAATTATGTGGTTCTGTAAAGAGACAAGCAGATAGAAATGCTTGATAGTGAACAAACTATTTATCTTAGAGCCACTTCACAGTTTCTTCCTCAATTTCACAGACACTCTGTCACAACAATTTGTTTTAAAGTGTCATTTTCGGTCAATTTCTTGTGTTATCAAGGTTCCAGTACAAGTGCATTAAAGCAGAAAGAGACAAGCCCAGTCAAAACAAACATGGTTCCTCCATTTCTGCTGACATTTGGGTAACTTGGGGGCGGTGTGTGTGTGTGTGTGTGTGTGTGTGTGTGTGTGGTGTGTGTGTGTGTGTGGTGTGTGTGTGTGTGTGTGTGTGTGTGTGTGTGTGTGTGTGTGTGTGTGTGTGTGTGTGTGTGTGTGTGTGTGTGTGTGTGTGTGTGTGTGTGTGTGTGTGTGTGTGTGTGTGTGTGTGTGTGTGTGTGTGTGTGTGTGTGTGTTTCTCAGTGCTATCCATTACAGGTCATACTAAGAGGCGGCCTCCCACTGAGTCCCTCCAGGCATGGTGTGATTTTGTGTGTGAGCCCTTGTGGCTGTGTGTTGTTGTCACTGTGTGCATACAGTATGTGCACATTTGTCAATGTTTGTGCTGGTAAGTGTGTGTGCAGGTGGATGATGGAGTTCAGCATTCAGTGGAATGGTGACTGTATTTACTGTGTTGTTTATGAGCGTGGTGACAAAAAACCTGACTGATACTTCTGACTCAGTCTGGAAAACAACTTCTGTTTTCACAAACAACCTTTCCTTATTCCCTTTTCTGTACATACTAGTACACACTAGTAATGTCTTATCTTATCTTGTTAAGATAACCTTTAGTAGGAACTACTTCCTGATAAAGAAATGTTATTATGCAAACTAGACTGGTATTAGACATTAACACATTTCCAAACGTTCCCAAAAAAGTAAAATTATATATACATTTATAAATTAAGACTATAAAAGAGTATTTACATTTTTTTTTAGCAACTACCATAACCTCGCGTTTTAGCTACAGTATGTTTTTTTTTACCCTATTTCAGGTATTTTAATCTAAATAGCTGCCATTTTCTTTGAAAACTGCAAAGAAGACACAGAAACAAGATTAATTCTGATATAAACAGTGGTCTAGAAGAAAATAATGTAGATGGAGTTTTATTTGTAATACATAATGTGCCTTAAAAATGAAAGAAATCGAGAGAAAGCCAACTCCGTTGACATATTTGTATCCCTTTCATTCTCCCAAAACCTTTAAGAATGCTTTAAGCTGATTGGCCTTTTCATACTTGTCCCTACATTTAGCGTTAAATCAGTGCTGCCCATTAGCACTGTTTCTGTGTGTGAGGTGGTAGCTGATCAGTGAGTGTGTTACAGCCGCCTGCCTCTCGCCACAGCAACAGGGGAGAGACTCTCCCTACGGGTAACACTGGCTCAAGGACTTGCAAGGATCTTGCATCAATACTGTGAGAGCACACATCCTCAGTGCTGCCCAAACAAGCATCTGGACACACGCATTCATATACACCCAGCACACATGCAAATACAGCTAGCATAGGGACTTAGAAATCTGGTTCACCTTGAGGGCACTTTTAAAGCTGAATGGTCTGTAAGCTAATAGCTGTAAAGTGGGTTAGTGTTAGTGTGTCAGCGGGGGTTTGTTTGCGTACTCAGCAGCATGTTAAAGAGGTGCCCGGTTCAAACGGATCCACACGCGCCCAGCGGGAGGCTAAGAACTACGATGATCTGAGTTGAGATACATTTTATGTGAGAGGGTGTGTGCGTGAGTGCGCTGAATTTATAATGCTAAACAATTTTGCAAGCACTTATTTTGCAAGCACTTGTGTGCTACACTGTACGTCAAGTACTTTGTGTGTGTTCCTGTAAGGCTTTTTTCAAAGTGCACATCTGTTCAGAATATATCAGTTATTTTAGGATGTAAAGGTCTCATATTGAAACTGATTCAAACTTTCACAACTTTCATTCAAGCTAGTTTTCATTCCAACACCACCTCCACATGATATACATTGAGCATTTACATGGCATTAAGAATGAAATTATGATAAGATAAAGAAGAAGAAACATAATGAAGAGCAGGGATAATATAAACACAATATGGCTCTTGATATTAAACCACAGCCTTTAGAGCCACATTGAAACATGAAAGTAACATGTCCAAAAACTAATAATTTGGATACAAGATTGAATTGTGCAAATGTTCAATATTTATAATTTTTTTAACTGTTTGTATGCTAATCCAACAATAACAAGCTGAAGGCTTAACCCAACGTTTTAACCTAGCTTAATCATGTTGTTAAAGTGGATGTCGAATGTAAGCAACACATTTTTTTAGTAAGTAAGGTTTTGAGCATGATTAAAAATGAAAAAACGAGTTACAAATACAAATGTAGTAACCCAACTTGATTAATTGAATTTTTCTAATTTTTTGTCTAATTTTAAGACACTTAGGTCCAATTATAACAACATGAATCACTGGTGATGCGTTTTAAGTGCTTATCTGCCGTACCTGTATGCATGTCCCTGTGTGTTCTCGACACAGGCTGCAGGACAGAGCCCAGCGGCTGGCGGGGATATGGGACACCTTGGTAATGGGCTCCATCTTCTCCGGACAGCCTATACTCACCTACAGAGGACAGGTAAAAACACACATACAAAGCAGCATGTGATAACCAATTAAACAATCAACATTGTGAGGAAATTAAGGCATTGGTTCAACCGTATCATAATAACATTCGATTTAGTATCATAGCATTTTTATATTAATATATTTTACTGCCGAAATGAATAGTGGCTTAATTAATTATTCTATCTACAGAACATTTCCGAAAATAAAAGATTTAACAATAAATAATTGTACTAATTAATCAAGCAAAATCAAAACATCATTTGGTTTCAGCTTTTTAAATGTGAGGATTAGCTGCTTTTCTCCTTTATAGTGCACAAAATGCACTTTTGTACGTCTTTTATACATTAATATGTGTCCCCGGTGTGTCAGGGAACTCACCAAGTGTCAGAAAACACAACCCTCTCTCTCTTCCTCCATACCCAAATCTTTAAAAACGGGGCTGCAACGGAGCTGATACAGACTGATCCAGATTTGAAATTGTTCTGTCAGAAACGGGGAGCTCCGCCTATATGGGCAACTCTCCACCTATCAGGAGGAGACAGCCACGGCCATTGCCGCTCGAAAGCGCTGGAGACGCTGTAGTACATATGCCAGGCCTGTAAGTGGTGCTGTAGTCTGCCACAAAAGCAGAATCAGCCCCTGCAAAAACAGGGCTAAAAAAGAGCAAATAGAGCAAAATGAGGCATGGCTAAAATGCATGATCTGTTTGGTATTTTGAAAAAAAAAACTTCACAGACATGTTTTATATAGGTATGGCCCTACAATATATTATTCAAATATAGCATGATAGGTCCACTTTAAATTAATATCTTTAGATTTGGATCAGTTTGTGGGAAAAATAACCTTTTGGAGACATATTACTGGGTTTATGAGAAACATGTGTGAGGTATTTCACCATTTTGTAGGCCAAAATATTAATAAATAGAATTCAAGATGGTGTTTGTCATGCCTCATAGCACTTAATTAATTAATAATAATTTGTTAACATATCAAAATATCATAATGACTAACCAGCTGGAGATTATGCTTCACCCATTTTTTATTCAGCACAAAACCTACATTTAACGTCTGTCTTTACTGATTGATAATAACCAACTAATTGAAGCTTGAATAATAATTTTGTCAGTGTCTCCCAATTTCAAAATCTCAATTTGGAAGGTATTTTCTTGGACCCGGAGCCTGGACACCTGTGCTCCCCGGAGAAATTGTAAAGATGGCAAAGCCCAGTGAGACTAACTCTCTCTGAGCGGCCTATTCAGAGAAGCATTGGCCCCAAACGCTTCTCCACCAAAAACAACCAAAAAGTCATTGACCTGTGCCAACCCGCCATGCAGGAAAGAGTGGAGAGCACTCAAAACCCAAGTGCCATTTCTTCCTTCCTTCCTTCCTCCGCTGCATATTTCTTTCCACAAACCATTCCACCACTTTCACATCCACTTAATCCCATATTTGTGGCATTGCCCACTTTCCTTGTCCTTCACGCTCGCATTAGTAAGCTGACGACGGATTTCCGTGGTTCATGTCCGTCCCTTTCCTCGTCCACTTGTTCTTATATCTGATTTTATTTCCCTCTTCTTGTTTGCTCATCCACAGAACAAGCACGAGGCCTTTCTGTTATTATTGATGTATTTTGTGCAGCACACTCGATCTGAGTAAGGGTCAATTTTCACTCCATTGAGGTTGTCAATATAAAGTGCAATTCAGACAATGATGCCGCAGCTGACACCTTCAATGTTCGCCTCTTTTATACAGCTGATGTGTGAAGTGATCACTGGCTAAAGGATTTTCACTTTTTGAAAGCTGTGGTTAATTGATTGAATGTTTGTGCCCACACACGCACACAGACACACAAAGAGGTTGCATTTTACACCATTCCTTCGTCTTTTTTCCTCTTGTGTTGGTTAATACTCAAAAAGTTAAGGTTGTAGTGGTCCGTGTTTGTGTATAATTCATCCCTTTAACATGCTCAATCCCCAATGACCATATTTTAGCCTCAATTACTTCACATTTCAAAGCCAGTAGATTGAACATTTGAAATCACTTCAGTGGAAAAGGGGGACATTTACAGTGTTGAAAAAAGAGGGTTTTGGAATCTTTGCAAGTGTGTGTGTGTGTGTGTGTGTGTGTGTGTGTGTGTGTGTGTGTGTGTGTGTGTGCGTGCATGCATGCATGCATGTGTAGTGAAGAGCCGTTTGAAGAGGGTCCTCTCTCTAGGGTTTGAAGGCAGAGGCCAGAAGACATACACACAGCACCGCAGGGGGGCTATAATGTTTGGAGGCACACACACTTACACACACATCTTCACACATAAACATGTATCCAATCCAGCTTTGACACACACAGCGTTTAACTGGAAATGTCCACTCCCACTCTGCTTGTGGTTTGTAGTTTTCAGTCAAAACTACAAACCACAAGTGCGATGTGTGTGTTACCCTGGCTGGTGGACACAGGGATTCTCTCCCCCCATCAGAAAGCATATATCAACAGACAGGGAATGAACGAACATGTGTTTTGCTTAAAAACCGGAATAGATGATTTCAAACATGGATCATCTAAATTCTACACAGTGTTTTTGGACTTTAGAGACGCGTTTGGTACACTCTCCCATGAGGTGATGCTACAAGCATTAGAGGAAATACACCTGCCTCAGCCTTTGGTGAATATTGTATCCAATGTGTACCAAGGTTCATTTCTCCAGGTTATCTGTGGGCAGCAGCTCACAGAGCCGATTGCACTGAAGGTGGGAATAAAAACTGGCTGTCCCTGGAGTGCCGTGAATTTCATCCTAGCACTCAACCAATGGATGAAGTGGATTTACCAGTGCGCTCCTTTGCATGTCAAATCCCCAAATCCTGTTCAGGGATACGCTGACGACGTGCAGGTGTCATCACGACAAGCGGATGTCATCATTGACATGCTGGCGCGCACTGATGAGTTCCTCCAATGGTCAGGGCTGGAGGTGAAGCAAGCTAAGTGTGCCGTACTCCATGAGCGCCGCAGTGGAGGCAACCGCTGGTATAAGGCCAAGAACGACAAGCCCCCCTCCTTTCTTGTAATGGGCCAACCCATTAAGGTGTATTCCCGTAATGAGACCTACCCATACCTTGGCCACAGGTTTAACATCGCTGGCGAGTGGGGGGAGCAGGTCGAGGAGCTCGCTACAGAGTTTCTCCATCGTCTCCACCTGATTGACTTGTCCTCCCTCCCCGTCCTCACGAAGCTCCAGGCTGTGAGAGAGGTGGCTTTGGCTAAAATTCAACATCTCTTTGCCAATGTACACATCCCTCTCAAGGCACTGAGAGAAATGACAAACAAAACTGTCCAGCTGGTCAGAAAGTGGGTGGGCCTCAACACACACTCCACACGGGGCATCATCTTTCTCCCATGTGGAGAGGGGGGGCTGGGAGTCCCCAATGTCGAGTGGACCTACATAGCCACCAGGCTAGCCCACCTGATCCACATGCTTAACAATGATGATGTCACCGTAAGAGAAATGGCCAGGGCCTCTCTCCTGCTGGATCTACACAGAAGGAAGATCCCCCTGGCCAGCGCAGACCAGAACAACTTCCTCGGCTTCAGGAGGAAAGACTCTGGGAAACTGGACTCTCAGGCCAGGGGCTTCGGGGTCTGGTCTGACTGGCCAGATCTCAATGACCTCTGCAATCGGACTGGAGTCCAGCTGAAATGGACAAGACTCAACACACAGACTGAAGTCCCTGTCTCTGATGAACTGATCACAGACCCCAGTGTGGTTGTGAAGGCCGACATCACAACACCTCAGGAAGAGACTGTGGAACTGCACAGAGACTCTGCAAGGAGGGTTCTGCTCAGCATGAAGCAGTCTGAGATCAGGCAGCACTGGTGTGGACTCAGACTACAGGGAAAGCTAGCCTGTTTGGGGTTTGCTGACCACTCAGTCTCACACTCAGTGTTTAAGAACGCCGCTGTTGGTGAGGATGTTCTGACATTTACCATCAAAGCAAGACTGCAGGTATTACCCACTAAGTACAATCTGTCCACCTGGTACCCTCACATTCACACTCCATTCTGTTTAAACCATCAGGATTCACAACAACACCTAGAATCCATTGCACACATAACAAATGGATGTAATTCATACAAACGCCTGTACATAGCCCGTCATGACCGTATTGTGGACATTGTGTCTGATGCGGTACGAAACATCTTACCATCTAGCGCAGCAATGTACAAGCACGCTAGAGTGCTACCAGAATGGTTTGGTTTTACCAATGATGTCTTTGCTAACATCCCAAATACACCTGATGTTGTTTTTGTTGACACCAACCACAGGGAGGTGCTAATATTAGAAGTAGGCTGTGCCTTTGACCTGTACATGGACCAGGCTTTCCAGGACAAGTATATCAAATACTAACCACTGCTCGATGTGATAACCAGCTTTGGCTACAAGTGTAGATACAGCATACTTATATTCGGAAGTCTTGGCCATGTATATAAATGCACCATGATTGGTCTGAGAATTGCTGGAATGTCAAAGAGAAAAGCCAAACAAATTGCCAAATATTGCTCTGTTTCAGCTATTATTGGCAGCTTAGCCGTGTGGAGAAGGAGATGCTATGTGTTCCCCTAAGTGTTCTGTGCTGCTTAGCCCCGATATATTTGATTCCCTGTCTTATGTAATATAATTTGTGGAACCAAATAAAGTATTTAAATGTGTGTGTGTGTGTGTGTGTGTGTGTGTGTGTGTGTGTGTGTGTGTGTGTGTGTGTGTGTGTGTGTGTGTGTGTGTGTGTGTGTGTGTGTGTGTGTGTGTGTGTGTGTGTGTGTGTGTGTGTGTGTGTGTGGTGTGTGTGTGTGTGTGTGCATGCATGCGTAGTGAAGAGCCGTTTGAAGAGGGTCCTCTCTCTAGGGTTTGAAGGCAGAGGCCAGAAGACATACACACAGCACCGCAGGGGGGCTATAATGTTTGGAGGCACACACACATCTTCACACATAAACATGTATCCAATCCAGCTTTGACACACACAGCGTTTAACTGGAAATGTCCACTCCCATCATATTCAGTCAAAACTACAAACCACAAGTGCGATGTGTGTGTTGTGTTTGTGCATGCGTGTGTTTATTTGCGTGGATGTCTACTATTAACGCCTCTTTAGCTCATGCGAGCACACAAACGTGTATGCACAAATGTGCGTACAGCACAGACATGCAAATTATCCTTTTTTCCTCCCTCCACGGTAGGAAGAGAAAACAAAAGCGAACGGAGCAACGAAAACAATTAGCCCAATCAAGGGTGACAGAAGGCAATTAAAGTAGAAGGTTTGTGCTGCCAAAAGTCACTCTATTACTGAGGAATCTGCTGCTGGAGTGTGTTGATGAATAGGCTGAAGACGCATGACTGACTGTCGTAACAGTTTAAAGGTGTGCGCAAGGCATGAAGCACATCCGCTGAAATGAGCTGCATTTTCGGAGCTCTCAGATGAGACTTCTCCAAAAGGTGTCATCAAGACACATCAGGTGCTGCTTGGATACATGCTTGACAAACAGATTCCTCATAAATCAATCTACATTGACTGATTGCGGGATTGATGTTTAGACTGAAGAAGCTTCATGAAGTATTCAAAGCATTTACTGTAAACACAAAAACCCAGGTGAGAAAAACAGAAAGGTGGACCTATTCCTCAAAATCCAGGTTTCATCTATTGTTGCATTTCACTTCCATTTAACGTGCACACAACCAAAATCAAGGTCATTTGTTGTCAAATTATCAGACACCTTTTCTAGTTGACAAATGTAAAATTAGTGTCACAAGCTTGGGAAATCAATTATCTTATGAAATACTTTTTAGACGAATATAATAACCCACTGGTTCATATTAACACATTTGTGCCGACTATTTCACCCGTCATGTTCCTACTAACATCTTAAGGAACAGTTCATAATCCCATTACATAAAAGAGCAACCAAACTGTTTGTACTTGCACTGTAAAATATTACCATGATTTCACAATATTTAGCTGTAATATTTTACAATAAATTACTGTTTTACCACTTTACAGTCTTTACCTGTAATGTTCACAATATAATACTGTCATTTTGAATGTCACAGTGAAATCAATGCAGGCACAGTTAATTACTGTGAATGTACAGGATAAATGATTACCAGGATTTCACAACATGTTACTGTATTATCACAGTAACATACTGTATTCAGACCATCCTCTGTGATAACACAACAAATTAAGTGATTTTCTTGCTTGTATCGCTCTTGCTTGGCTTTAAATACTAATTTATTTATTTGGTGCAGGTTTGACTTAAATTGAAAGGGGCACCGCTGCATGCCTTAAAATAAACGATGCAACATATAAATCTATGTAAAATTGAAATTGTTGTCTTGGCTTAGTGTTTTCAGGTGCTTCCTGGGCATTAACCCTGAGACGGGCTCGAAAGCCAAAAAGAGGCATGGCAATTTAAACCTCCATGTCAGCACATTCTTCAGATTTTTTTTTACTTTGAGTGGATGTCTGTGTAGACATGTGTTAAGTGCTCCCCTCCTTGTTTTCTTTTCTGTCTCCCTGGCTCCGCCTCTGCCCAGGTGCACCTGGTCTGTCCCTGGCTCCGCCTCTGCCCAGGTGTTCCAAATTCCACTCAGCCGTGTATATATAAAGAGAAGCTGGAGGAGAAGGATGTCTCGCCTATCCTAACGCCGGGAGACACTGTCCTCAGAATACCTCTTTGCCATTTTGAGCTGTAGGCCATATTTTTGCAGATGTGTTTATGTTTAGCCTGGAAGACCTGGGGCCTATACTACGAAGCTGGTTCAACCTAACCTGGATATGTTTGAGTTAGCCGGTTGGCCTAATCCAAAACATACGCGCTCTCGCTAAACTGTACTACGACGCTGGTTATCAAGTGGATCGCTCAAGCCAGCCGTGTCCTATCTAGTTAGGTGCGCGTTCACATGAAAGGGGTGGTATTTGGAGCATTCGACCAATCACAAACATGGAGAAGCGTACTGACAGCGCAGCGTCATACTTCCTGAATGAAAAGTGAACTTTAATACTAGTCAAAAATGAAGAAGTTAAACTTTAAACATCCATGTCTTAAACACTTTATCCAGGATAAAAGCCACATAGTCTGCACCTGCAAGGTGAATACAGCTGGCAAAAGAAAAAGTGTTTGAATGCGTACATTAACAGGTTTATGATATCACTGCCCCGTCTAAAACACGATCTGACTTTAATTACATTTGTCTCGAGTGTTTCGTCAACTTAATGTGTTGCTTAAAATAATACTTCGGCATACAGTATGTGACACTGTGAGTGTTGCACGGCCAGATACGGCTCAGCTGACTCAGATAAGAAAATATATGATACATTATGAAGTGATATGCCGCGGACTGTACTTAATGTTACTCTGATCCGGTTACTTATGTTGTGGCATATATTTAAGTAAGCTTTCTTAACGCTAATGTTATAATAGTCAGATTGCTCTGAAGATGGGAGGTGATATTCTATTAATGTTCACGTTTACACAGTCGGTGATTTTTGCCGGCCGTCTTTCCTGCGACGGCAGCTTTTCTGTATTTCCTTTCTCCTGTAATATGACTTGATCGCTTTAAACTCCGCACACTGAGCTCTGATTAGTCAGCAGGCAGTGCTTTCACTGAGTTGAGCTCTTAGCCTGCAACCTAACCTGGTCCCGACCAGGTTAGCCGCTAAGCATAAGTTACCATGGAGATCTAGCCTGCTAAAAAGAGAACCAGCTTCGTAGGACGTATTTCCAAGACACTGTGAAATGTACTTTGCACTTCAATGGAGTAATAAAAAGTTAAAATGGGCATTTTCTTTGTTTTTCTTTGTTGATTGAGCTGATTGAATTGTGTAGTTATGGTACAATCCCAGTCAAATTTACAATATATTATCGTATTATTTAGATTTTTATATTTACAGTAAATTACTGGCTACTGTGTTGCATTACTTCTCAGTAATAGTGTGAAAATACAGGTAATTACTGTAATTTATGTACAGCAAGGTACCATAATACCACAGCTCTGTACTGCTATATCACAGTAATTCCATGGGCATGGCAACTGTAAAGTCACAGTATTTAGTTGTACTTTTATTCTAATTTACTGTAAAATATATACAGTAAATTACTGTGAAATATTTACAGTAAATTACTGTGAAATCCATGCAACTAGTAGCCAGTAATTTACTGTAATTTTACAGCCAAACATTTTACAGTGTGTGTTTAAAGCGTACATAACGTTCGAGAGATTTTCTTTCCTTAGTATAAAGATTGAAGAAATATGTAAGGTGTGTAGACTTCTAGGAAGATGAGTGGGAGGTTACAGAATATTTCTGTTGATGCAAATGGTGGAGAAGAAAACTGTCCCTGAAAGATTGTGCAATAAAAGCTGAGCATCCTCCGAAAGGGATGAGGGTGAGGAAGAGAAAAAGCCAAAGTTAAGTTTAGTTTAAACAATAAAAGTAAAAATAAGCACTGTGTGGGTCCCCATCGTCAAACACCGCACAGTCTTGCAGGTGGTTGTGATTCACCATCTTTAAACGTGGAGTCGCTTATTTTGACGCACTATTTGTAACACCCACACACACAGTAGTCGACCTCTTCATGTTCAGGTAGTTGCTGACTCCACTGAGCTAACAAAGGAAAGATTTAGGAAAGACATTTACTCTACAGTCACTGTGGACATAACGTTTTTTTTTTTATTGTAATAAACTTACATTTTATAGTTGTACTAGATGAATGTGGTTGTATTTAATGCGAAAGAGACTGTGGAATGGTGATGACTGATCTGTGCGTACCTGCCCAGGAACTGTACATAGAAGCTAGTAATTAACTAAATCTAGCATAAATAAAAATAATGATATTAAAAATAACGCATTTTATTTATTATTCATGGTCGACTTTCATTACATCCAAGAACACAAGGAATCGTCTCTTCTCAATTTAAAATCTATGTTTTTTTAGAATACTATTTTTTAAAAAGTATTCAATATCAACCTTGACAGGTAAAAGTGAAGGCACGAAGGGGAGAGCTTTAGTCTCCTGAGTGGGTTGAGTGATTGAGATCATAAACACAAAACACCTGCAGGTCTATCTTTGATTCAAGAAGTCCTTCACCAGTTAAACATAAAAAGTAGAAACAGCTACCTTAAGCACTCAGGCAAACGGAAAGTGGAACAGCTACCGTACTATATCTGGATCTTTTTGACCCCCCTGCCTCTGCTCCGGTCTCACCTCAGGGATCCATAAGGCACAGCTGACGTGGACCCACTTGGTTCCACTTCGGGTGGGCTTGAGGGCCCCCCCCCTCTTGGGGCAGAGCAGACATTTGGGCTGAACGCCCAGAGCGCAGGTCCGACACAACCAGTTCCCCTGGGGCACCTTCAGGATGCCATAACACGCCTGGGACACGGAGAGAGGAAAGAGTTAGAGAAGAAGAACAAATATTGAGAAGATTTTAGAGAAGTTTTATAGTTTTCTAAATGTATCTTCCTTGGGAAATAGGTTGATACTTGGGGAAAGCCAGTCTCCGTCTGTAACTAAATCTAATCTGTTCAAAATGATACTTATTAACAAACAAAATACAACCTTATAATTGTTGCTCTTTAAATGTGCTAGTGAGCAGATTGTGTTAACTTTGGACAGAGCCAGGTGACGTTTTTGCATGATGAAGCCCATAGTGGTGGAAGTGTTCATACCTTGCAGTCAATGCATGAAAATATGTGCAGCTATTACAGTCACTTTAACTGTGATCACCTTCATTACTGTTTCTCTATTGATTTCTTGTTTAAAAGTTTGTTTTCATAAACTGAAAGCAATGAAGCTCTAGCCTTTGAGATTCAATGTGCAGCTTGTGCCATGCTTTTAGAGGCCATACTATCAGGAGACTCAGAGTTTATGCATACCGGTAATGTATTTTTGGAGGCTAAGAAGCAGCACGAAAAAAGTCAAATGTATCACTTCTAGCTAATCTGTTCAAAATAAATATGGCTTTCACCATTTTTTGCTACTTCAGGAGCCAGACTGGAGAGAGATGATTTAAAACAGGCTGCATTTGCACCCAGATGTGATTTTAACCAGCTACACCACAAGGCCACCCCAGCGTCTAGTGTTCATGTCAGAATACTTTTTATATTTTGGAAACAGTGTACTTTCAGTGGTTGCTGCATCTTAAAAAGCAATTACAGTATGCCGCTGCTTCTTTCTTTTATCATATCAAATCCGCAAATTCTCACATGGAAAACCAAGTCTTCTTTCTCCTTTTGCCTCAACATACAGCTCCTTAAAGCTAATGCTCAATGCTTCTCCATAAACACAAACACTCAAAAAACACATGACCTCTCTAGCTGCCCAAACTTTTCTCTCAACATTTTCAAAATGCCACTTGGTGTTGTTTTAAAATCACAGCAGGTCATTGTATCATCAGCGCTCCACCCATTTGCCCTTCCGCCCAAACAATAGGGTGGCATTAAGGTTTTGACACCAACATATTAGCACACTGAATTATATTTGATAAGATCCAATGCCCAGGGTCAGGAAGAGAGAATCATTTTTTTTGTGAGGTATAATTTACTGTATCCAAGTGCCTTTTCTCTGAGAAGTGAATCGTGTTCAACACTTCTTTTTGATCCATTATTACAACCTCTCTGTCAGATCTATCAAATCTTATTTCTAAGGACTCAAATCAAACTTGTAGCTGAGTCCCAAATTAATTTTCATGGCCAAACATCCTGAAGCATCAACACACTTCAGAACTAAGTGCTGCAAAAAAGCCTGATCTCAGAATTGTAATCTGTCACCATACTCCACAGAAGAAGGCCATCACATGTTTTACTACTGAAAAGTAAAATTCATCCTCAGTTATTAGAAGATAATATGATAAAAAAAAGGATCTTCGCACTGACACTAGGAGAGAAAACAAGACTTCAAAGACTCCATCTTCATCAAAAGCAGTAAAAGGACTTGATTGATCTAAGGTTTTATTGATCAAACCTTTAAATTACTCCTTTAACCAAGCCCTGTTTGTTACCGGCTGAAGGTTAAAATGAAAGCCTTACTAAAGAAGCATTGCTGAATGTGTTTGCTCTATAAAAGCGATAATATTCCTGAATACTCTCGGGGGGCAACTACTTCTTTATCTGCTCTAAATGTTGTTTCCATCACACCTAAATGTTTGCCAGTTACTTCTTCTTCTACTTAACACAAACTGCTCTGTGGAGAGGCACTATAGAACAGTGCACTGCTTCCAATATACTGTATATATACACAATATAACATTTGTACTGATCTTTTTGCTAATTAAATTCATGAATTGATGGACTACTCAAAGAGCAACACAACAAAGCATGATGTTTGTGTCATCCTATTGAATGCATGAAATAAATAATTATCACTATATGGGATTACAGTTATCCTGTTTTCCCTCTTTTTCTAAATAATGTACTTCTATTCCACATACAGGTTTTTTTCCACATTGTGAGAACATTTCTTTGTGACAGAATAACATCATATATTTGGTCTGCAGTTGGACAGCAGGGAGGCAGAGGCAGTCTGATGACACACTGAAGGTGTGTTAGTGTCAACGGGGCCGACAGAATAATTAACACTGTGTCAGTGTAACAAACACAGCAGCAGCCTCAGGGTGTCACAGGTAGCAGTTCTGAAATTGCAACATGTACTTTCAAGCAGATGATAAATTAAGTCAGAGGGAGAAAAATATGAGTAAAATATGTGAGGGCATCACTCTGAGGAAAACAGCAAAACCTTCTCTTTGAACAACCTTGATTTTGTACTTCACGTGTTTCCCCTTCAGCTTCTACCTGTTTATTCCCCCAAGAATGATTACCTTGTTCTGTAAAAATATTGTTTTAAAGCCAAAAAAACACTTACAAATATATTCACAGAAATGCTTGAACAGAGATACATATCTTTTTTTTTAATGAATTGTTCTAGTCCATGTTCAAAAAGTATATTTTCCTTTTAAATAAAACATGGTATTCTTGCATTTGTTATGAATGTTATACAATTTTCAGTACATGTCAAATGTATATTTATGTATGGATGTCGCCATTGTATAAAGGTATTATTAATTGTTCTAGTCCATGTTCAAAAAGTATAGTGTTTTTGTTGCAAAGAAAACCTGTTATTCTTGCATTTGTTCAAAAATGTCAAATGTTTATTAATGTATAGATGTCACAATTGTAGAAAGATTTGGCAATACTGTATGTCATTATGGTCATGCTAATGAAGCTATTTGAATTGGATTGATAAGCTGCTTAGTTTCTGACCTGATGGACGCAGACGTTGCACTTGTCACAGAACACCATCTCGTTGCCGTCCTCTCCCTCTGGCGAGCGGCAGACGTCACACACCACGTCCTCGTCGTACTCGATGCCCAGGCCTTCCTCCGCCTCGATGGCCTGCCGCATCTTCTCCTCGCAGATGCTCTCCAGCTCCACCAGGACACACTCCATTGTCAGCTCGTCTAGCTCTGGTAATGCTGGGGACAGAAAGTAAAACGTGATTTATTTTTGTTCATCCTCTCAAACTCAATTAGAAAACTGGGGTGGAGTATGAGGAAAAGGAGTTGTGTATTTGATTGGTTGATATGAGGTTGATATATAACCTCTAATGAGAGAGATAAGTTATGGAGAAAATACTCAGAGCCTTTACAGACCAATTAAAAGTGCTCAGTTACAGGGTCAAAACTCTGAAGTATTTTTGAGCTTTTGTTATCGACAAGGATAACAAAAATAGGAAGCTACCTATAGGAAACTCAAATGAAGAGAGGCAAGTGACCACATTTCAGTTATTGTTGCTGTGTGTACTCATCACACAGGTCAGTGACTGTTTTATGGTAGCCAGCTTTGGATAAAATGTGCCCAGGATGTGTTGGAGTGAGTGGAGTTTCAGTGGACTCTTATATTAACCAGAGAGTGCTCCGTCACTACTAGCCCATATACAAACAGAGCCAAAAACAACCTTATTAGTCATGAAACCTCCTTGCCAACAGCTCAGTTCACTGCGCCAATATGTGTCGGCATTAGCATTAATATTCCTGCTCCTTTGCAACTCAAAGTAATGCCTTGCTCTGAGGCTGCTAAATAGTTGATGGAAACTGATTTAACATGCGATTCTTTAATTCTCATAAAAGATAAAGTATTGTAGGTACCGTACCAGTAAAGTAAACTGGACGGTGGCAAACAGATGTGGAACGCTATTATCTCATTACATGCAACGGTATTACAATCATTATACAAAATTGGTAACAGCAGGCCACTTTTATTTAGAAAAAAATAAATAATAAAAGTGATTTATTGGATAACAGTTCAAAACAGTGGAAAAAAAATCTTGATTAAATGCCGTTAATGGAGACTTTCCCAAACAATTAATTTAGGTGATAATTCTTAGATTTAGTATTTACAATAGTTTTTCGATTTGCCTCTTGTTGCCTACCACCTGTATTCTATTAGAAGCCATAAATACACTTCTGCTGTCATAGAATCTGCAGTTGTGGATTACTTATTGATTTATTTGAAGGATTCTGCACTCAGTTGGGAGGGTTTTTAAAGTGGAGCTGAGCGTCCTGTGTCTATATCTATTATTTATGTCACTCAATCCCTTTACAACCAAAAAAGTCAAATCCTTTTTTCCTGGTAATTCAGCATCTCTGTGCCAACAGGGTTATGTATCATTGGAGCTGCTGTTTAACAAAAAAGAAGAGACTATTTCCAAGTTATTATGGAAATGTAAAATAAACCTTTCTGATGATATTGAAGTGGTGGGTCACCTTTATTTTTGTATATATTACTTTTGAATCTAGCCATCAACACAAACTTTCATTCAAATTAAAATACTTGTGTGATTTTAAATGTTTTGGATTTAAAAGCTGCTTTTCAAGCGTCAAAAGGGAAGTACAGTTTGTTATTAACCTGCTGTGAGTGTGACATTTACATCATGAACTGAACACACACAGGAGGGAGGGAAGCAGGGAGGGAAGCAACACCGCTGTGAGTGTGTGTACTCATAGTGTATTTGTTTCATATTTATCTTGTGTCCATGTGCGTACGTATAAAGCTGTGCGCACATGGACATTTATCATTGTGTGTATTTAGTCAGGACTGCACTTATCTGTCTGAAAGCAACATTGTATCAAACACACAGACAAAAGACAGGCACATTGACTGAATATCTTTCTATACTTTTCAGTATGTTCGAATGCATTCATCCTGCATATTGTCCATGCATTATGTTCCTTTATCCCTTTTATTGAATGCATTATAAGGCCATGAAGCTCAATACTGAGTGGTGTTTCTCTATAACTACTGACAGACTGAATATTTTACAGTGTTTTGTGCTACAGTTATGTCATAGTTCTCTGCAAGATATCAAGTGTTAGAAGTGTTTAAATAACCAGGATTCAAAGTTTTCAAGTTCACGTTTTGAATTCACACGCTCCAAAATATGCATACAGTAAAAGAGTGAGATAGAAAATGCTGAATCATCCCATAATCCTTCACCCAGCAGAACCAATCATCCTCTGTTTGTTTGGTCTAGCATTGGAGGTTATGAGAAACAACCCACTTCTGCTCTGGCAGGAGATATTGTATATATATGTGTGTGTTTGATTTAAGGAGAATATGTCCCAGGAATAAAGGCCTGAAACCCCAGCGGGGATTTATAAACACAATTACTCCGCTTTATCTGAAAGGAGCCGATCAGATATCGAATAAAATGGTGGAGATGGCAGAGATGCTCGGGGTCAGCAGTTGTTGTCACCATGGACAAATGGAGGATGTAGGAAAGCAGGGGAGAGAGAAAGGCCCAATCCCAAACCACCCCCTCGACCCTCCCCCTCCATGACGGAGTGAACTCCGTTTGTAGCCACACTCGCAGCTCAACGAGGCTCCCTCCTGTCAGATGGAGGGAGTAAATACAGCAGCAAGCTTTGGGACGGCCTCCCCTCTCTCCGGCAGAAACAGGAAATGCCGTAACTGTATGTAACAACGGTTTCAAATCAGCATCTCTTTGACAAAAAATGTAAATTAATAACTCAAATAAAACTCCAAACATCTTTCATTGAGTTACTTTTTTGTAAAACTCTTTTAGTTTTAAACCTGATGTTTATAAGCTTCTTAGTTTTTGCAACAGTCTGTAAATATACACAACTTTATAATAAAATGCACACATTTACCTTTTTCTAGACTAAACACAGGTATGATCCTAAGTTAAAACATATGAGGTTATCATGAGGTTGTTAACATCGCAGTTTATCAGTGGATGTTTGCTGGAACTACTTGTAAACAGCGTGTTTCCTGACGGACACACAAAGCGTTGAAACCGGTCAGGTAGAGACCGGTCTCAAGTCAGCACCGCTGCAGACTCGCTGTTTGAGGGCTTGATAGCCCACTCCCCCTCCACACCGCTCCACACTCGTTGCTTTGGAACAGCACTTAATGTGGCGGACCCTCCGCGTGAACGCGCAAACGGAGGGGTAGGGTGTAGGGGGCGGTTTGGAAATGGGCCAAAGTGACATTAACTGCAGAAGAAGAGGAACAGAGAAGACGGAGGAAGCAGGTGATGATAAGAGTGAAAAATAAATAAAAAAAGGATGTACTGAAAAGCATCTGCATCACAGAAACCAACTTTTAAGAACCTTTGAGAGTTTAACAAAGTCGACTTGGAGGTGACTTTTACATCGGAAATGTCAGATAAACAAATGTACGGTTATGATTTGGGTTAGTACATAATACATATCTAATAAAGGTTATGTGACTGTTAATGTGACTGTAAGTGTGGAATAGAGAAAAACCTAAACATTAATGATAACCTTTTGCAAATTGTGCAAAATCTAATTTAGCTGTAAACCAGCCTCAATTTCTCTGGGAACATTGACTGTAATGGTAAATGAAGGCCGTTTATATTTAATTCAACTAGCAATATTTAATAAAAATGAACTGCTATATGTGAATATGTTCTTCTTATAGGTGAGTACAATCATCTGTGTTTCTGATACAATCCCTTATGTTTTACAACTAGTCCATGAGTCTGAAGTAAAACCACACCATTCATGACACATTTTGTTAAGTGATTATATAAAAGAAGAATGCCTTTGGAAAACTCTTTGAAATGTTATGATGGGCTTTTGTTTCAGTTCAATGTCAGAATGTTCTCTGGCGTTCATTATGAGTTGAGGCTGCGAGTCAGTCTGCACTCACCCATCTGTCTGAACTCGTTGTTGACCAGCTCCAGCCAGGAGACATCCAGGTCGTCCAGGTCGTAGCAGCTGTAGCGCTGGGTGGGGGGAGGCTGGGTGATACTCCCCTTCTCCTGCATGTTGTCTGAAAAAACGTCCGACGAATCAATCGACAGCAACCTGAAACACACACAAAGATACACAAAGAGACTTCATCATGGGGTCTGGAAACACATCAACACACCTTGGAGAAAACGTTGGCAACTCACATGGAACCACAGCTTGTCTTACGAAATGACTGACAAGAAAATGTAATACAACTCATAATTCAATGATTTGATTGGTTGATGTTTATTGACAAATTATCAAGCAATAAAACATGTAATCTGTGGTTGCTGGCACCTATGAGCTAGCACACTGTCAACAATACTCAACCTCAAGTGGTTTACTGCTTTAATGCCACGTTTACATCTCATCAAACTAAGAAGTGAAGACAGGAGCTCTGGATTTTAAAAGTTTCTCTCCTCGACTCTTGAGCCATACTGAATAAACAACCAGGGGGGATTTTCTTCTGCTTAATGGATGAAACTGTATTCTTGACATTCTCACTATAGGCTTGTGTCACATTCGCCCAATCAAAAGGTAAAAACAGTCCCATTCAGAGGTTGCGCTAGACTTTTTCACTGCCCGTCATTTTGACGGACAGGATCGTAAAATTTCCGTCAAAATGCAGTATTACCCGTCGGCCTTTACACTCTGGGGGGGGGGAGAGCACAGTCGCTTGTGAACTGTTAGCGCCGTGTTATGCATGCCCACTGCACCTCGCGGGAGTGCGCACAGCGTAAAGCCAAAACTCACAGACATTTCAATGATTTGTACGGCAAAGTTGGGTTTGGAAACGGTATCATTCCTTTTTGGCAGGCATGCTTAACACCGGAGCCTCGCTGCGGGGAAACTTTAGCGCTGTTCCGAGTTTGTTCTAATCCGTCAAAATGACGGACTGCTTTCAGATTTTTCCGTCATTGTTAAAAAAAATCCGTCATAGACGGAAAATATTCGGTTAACGCGACCTCTGGTCCTATTATATCTATAGCTGATATCTGGCCAATTGACCAGAATCAAATAAATAATAGGTTTTAATGAAGAAGGTCTAAAACAACTGCCTGTTTTATATAAAAAAAATAATCTTTCTTTCATTTTCTTCCATTTGAATATATGTTTTAAATCGAAAGAGCTGGCAAAATAAAACTTTATTCAAAGTAATGAAATCACAAAAGCTCTACTTACAAAAAGTTGACTGCATTTTCTCAGCTGGAAAACTGAAAATGTTTGATGTTTAATGTGAATGTATAATAAATAAAAAATAATATAATCTTTAAATATATAATCATAAGTCAAATATAGATTGCCAAAGGTCAAAAGATGAAAATAGGGACATGATGCATACAGATAATACAGTGGGCGAAAATATATTTTAAATGCAATATACATACAACGATACACGTCACTATAAAGTCGTTAATCATAAAGAATTTGTAGATAATGTTGTCCTCGTAAACTGTATATTCACAACTGTGACGGTCATTGTTAAATACTCAATACATGTGAGAGAAAAGAACAAAACCCTACAGTTCTCATGACAACATAAATAAACGAGAAGCCCTTCTCTTGTCTGAGAATCCTCTAACAGACATGTCCTGACCTCACGGTCCAGAAAGACTGAATCAGAGTTTGACAGATGCTAAAAACAATAAAAATTGAAAGGGGGAAAAGAGCAATCGAAACAATGACACATGGAGTGGTAGTAGGGAGCAGTGACAGGAAGCTGCGCCAGGCAGTGTCTGCTCTCTAGAGCCTCGGGCCTGGATGTCTCTCTGTCAACAACACCAGGAAATGGGGTCAGGAACTCTGCTCGACCCACTGGGAACCAATAAAGACTCTGACATGTTCATACACACACATGTGTACACTTACACACACTCACTTACACACGGGCCTGTATAAAACCTCTGGATACTCTGATTCATGCACATGCTCATCATATTCTATTTTACATAATAGTTAACTTCTCCTGCATTACTTGAACTGTATTGGTCTTGCAACATTCTCTTGCACTATTATATTTCTACTCTGTTCCTTCTAATTTATAGTTGTTTTATGTCTTAAATACTGATGTTGCATTGTTGGAGGAGCCTGTGTGAATACAGTTTTTCATTGCATATCTACACTGTAGCTGTGCATATGACAATTACGCCCTTTGAAAACAAGGTATATACACACTAAACACACATACTTTCAGGCAGGGAACACACACACACACACCAAACGCTCGCCTGGTGAAGTCGTGACCTTTGTGTGAAAAGGTGAAGTGTGTCAGTGATCAAAACAACAAAATAAAGCAACCTTTAGCTCTCTGTTGAGCTCCCCGCCTTCCACGCCACATTACCACACTGCTCAGTTATTATCATCATGCTCTGTCACTGCCGTTGCCCTCACATCCAGCCGCACTGTGATCATCATCATCATCATCCTCCTCATCATTATCATTATCCTCCCCATTATCATCACCACTGCTGCCATCATCTTCACAACAGCTGCCACAATTTATTTCAGTAGTCTTCATTAGAACGGCTTTTCTTATGTGTTGCCATGGAAAAAGTCTCATCAGAGCAAGATTTATTATTATTATTATTATTAGCCATGGAATTTCTAAAGTGGAGTAATTTTACAAATTAACACAATATAAATGTAATTTTTCTAACTGTAAACAATAAAACTAATTTATAATCCCAACAATTCTCATTACTTCCTATTTCCTCCTTAAAAGGATGCGGTCATTTTCTTATCATTCTTGATTTGTACTTGTCTTTACCTGTTCCTCATTCATTTCCCTTGTATTTGTATTTCTTAGTGATTGGCTTATAGTAAAAGTATGCAAATCTTGCTGTGGAAACACTTTTATTTTTTTATAATAAGTATGAAGTATTCCTTGGCATTTGACTTGTGTATGTGATGTTGATTACCACAACAACTCTGGACCTTTGCATTTCCAGATCAATTGATGTCCACGTCTCAGTAATCTGTGCATGAGTGGTCAACATTAGCATTTCCCTTGCTGATAGCGCACTCATAAATCTGATAAAAGGCACAGATCTGATCTATTTCTATCTGGGAATGGCCAATTTAGACCGCTAGTGCAGGATCAATGGAGGCAAATGTGTAATCATTAATAAATCAAAAATGGACCATCTTCCTGTGTGGACAATAAGGCAGATCCCTGTTTTGGCTTGGTATCAGTTTGATATCTGATACTGAACAAACAGGCCCAGTCAGTCCACTGGCAGGGGAGAAAGGAGAGGAAAGAGAGAGACAAAGGCACATAACACACACAGAAACACACATACTCACACAAAGAATAGGTTTCATACTGCAAACACTAGGCTGGTTGTGTCTCTTATGTAATGGTAAAAACAACTTCAGTGTCTTATTACATTAGTGGGTGGTGTTATTGCGTTATCAAAGGATTAGGCTGCTGTTATTCTACGTGTGTTATTATTAACAAATCCGACAAAACGACCACAACCAACAGTGTGTCCTTTCAAATAACTTCTAGCTTCCAAAAGCCTATTAGTTCTTATGTAAAGTTTAACAGGACATACATTTAAACTCGTAATGCTTAATGATTTCCAATAAAAAATAGGCACTGTAGTTTAAGGAAATGTTTCTCAAGCAAGAAGAAAACGCTTTTTGGGGACTCAAGAAACTGCAGATTAATACAATGCTGCTTTGATGAGTAATAACGACAGTAGGAAATAGAAATAAAATAAGCTTCAGTGGCTTTGTTTTTGGTAGAGGGGGAACATGTCACCCAATGCAGAAAGTAATGTGTTGTTATCCTAGACTGTATAAATAAAGGTTGTTATAAGCTTTTGTAGAGCAATAGAGAATGATTAGAATTTGGATACACAGATACAGTTACTTCCTATATGGATCAATGTATTGCCGCTTTTAGTCTTGGTCTTCACCTGTTTTGTTGATTGTAAGAAACATTTACAACTGCCAGATGAAAACTAATTTTCAAGTTCATAATGTAATATACTGAGATTTTATCAGCAGAGTGCGTGTGGAGTTGATGATCTCAGCTTTGTTTATTCTAATATGGGCTTTATTACATTAGGCTTTATGACTTTGTTTGGCTTCTACAGTAGCTGTGGCTGCCAGTGTTGATTTACCTTAGCAACTTGGGAATGGGAAAATAGAAAAGAAAAGAAAATGAGGACAAAAACAAAATCATGAAAAGAAGACGAGACAATATTTGGATGTTATGTAAATGATACCTGCACAAAACTGGAAACCTGCGTACATTCAGAGCAAAAATGAAAGCTGCTACAAGGTCACAATGCTAATACTAATGTACATTTGTGAAATTAGACCCTATCTGCATTACTGATATTAGTTCAAGAGTTAGAAAATCATTCAAATAGTTTTGAAAGAGAGCTATAATTATGTAAATTAGGCTTATAAGCCCGGTGTGGTGACATTTACTGTAAATTGAGCCTCTGGTTTGTTATGTCACAAGTACGGGAGAAAACAACTTAAAGTGAGACATGAAAGGAAAGCTACGCCTCATAATAATGTCAAGTCATCCAATCCAACAGGATGTGAGCCAATGGGGGTCAGAGCACAATGTGTTCTTCCACTGGTAAGTATCATGTCACACACACACACACACACACACACACACACACACACACACACACACACACACACACACACACACACACACACACACACACACACACACACACACACACACACACACACACACACACACACACACACACACACACACACACACACACACACACACACACACACACACACACACACACACACACACACACACACACACACACCACACACACACACACACACACACACACACACACACACACACACACACACACACACACACACACACACACACACACACACACACACACACACACACACACACACATCGAAACATTTGAAAATGTTATGAGCTAAAGATTATGTACTCTGTATTTCTCTAAATTGTTTCACTAGTTTACAAGAAGTTGCATTTTGAATATCCTCTATAATTGTCTACCTCCCAAATACACATACACTGTAAAAATCAGCATTTAATAAAAAAATAA